TTGAGAGACACCAATAAGTTCCAAACAAGGTTCTAGTATGGCTTCCAGACCACCCCAATAGCTGCTCTTTAGTGTGGTGGTCAGGCCCCTATTATGATGGATCCAGAAATTTCTTTGATTTTTCTCACTCTATTATCTCTCTTCCAGACAAGATGAGAGAGGAGAAAGGGGACTGCTTTAAAACGTATCAATATGTTTTATCAGACTAGAGAAAAAAAGTGAATTCAGAACCACGGGCAGTTAGACTATCCACGTAGTTACGTAGCTAGACCGTGATGGGAGGTCTGTTCGATGCAGCCAGGAGATTTGCATTTATTTCAGTTTGAATTTTAATTTCAAGGCAGTAGAATTTTTTCACAGAACTAGGATTCATTTAATGGCTACTTTTCACCACTCTTGACCCTTTCCAACTGATTTGGTTTGTCCAGTTGAACTCATGAGTGGCTAGCTAAGTTCAGTCTTTCTTGGAGTAGGAGACATACAGGCTCACCTTTTTCAAGTTTTAGCTACTTTTATTAAGTTTAATGAGCTCCACTGCAACAAAGGAAAGAGCCAGCGTGGAGATGAATTCATTGCACGCCTATTTGACTTCAGGCCACCCTCAAAGCACAATTTGCATAGAAATAACTAAGAGCGGCTACGTGAATTATCAGACCAGCTCTTGTGTCCCTGGTTCAAGGGCCTTCCCCTGCCCACAAGACGACAGCAGCGTGTGCCTGTGCATGTGTGATGATTATTATGTCTGACTCAAATTTTCAACGTGTTCCAAGTGTCATAATTTTGTTTATTGTTGTTCTTTTATTTTTACACTCTTGCAAGCCATTAGAGTGTTCAGTTATGACATGAGCATGACAGGTGAAGAAGCAGAAATTGTCTGTCCCCAGCATTCCTGTCTTAGAACTCTTTTTTGAATCATAGCCAAGCAAGGCATTTATAGAATTGGGGGGGGGGGAGGAGTGGTGGGGGAAGAGCGGCAATCCACGGGTAGCATGGGATTTTAAGTACAAAAGCGACATTTTCAGAAGTCTTAGGCCATAGGCATTTAAAACTGAGTCAATACTCCATTAAGAGGGAATTTGGGGTCTTCAGTGGGAAATCAACTTCCTCTTGACTACAGCTTATTTAGCATGATTTTTTAAGATGATTCTAACAGTATTGCTTTTCCTCACTGCACAAAAAATGCTAAAGTGTAAATGAACTTATATCCGTCAGGTTTTCTTTCCCCAGGTTTGGCTGTGAATATGTTTTACCTGCTGTCTCACACATGAAACGAATTTTTGAACGAATTAATAGGAAAGTGGAAAACAGAACTGGCTCTCTCCTTGTCAGAGTGTGATCAGTACATTCAGAGTGACCACTAATTCATAAGGGCGTATGAAACTCATTCATTCAGTCAATAAATATGTATTGCCTGCCAGGCACTATTCTAGGCACAGAACAGTGGGATGTATCTGGGGATGTGGCAACAAAGGAAGCAGACCAAGTTCTGTCCCTCATGGAGCTTACATTCTAGTTTGGGGAAATAAACAATAAACAACTAAATAAGTAAGAAAATCTAGTGTAAGAGTTGATGAAATTCTATAGGAGAAAAAAAACAAGCAAAAAAAAAAAAGCAGACAGGGTTTGAGAGAATTTAACTCAGGTAAAAGGTGACACTTGAGCAGGGGCCTAAAGGAAATGAGGGAGCCAGCTAGGTAGGTCTCTGGGGAAGAACATCCCAGCCAGACAAAACAGTTTTTGTAAAGGCCCTGAGATGGGAACATGCCTGTGATGTCTGAGGAGGAATATGAATATGTCAGAAAGTATGCGTACACCCAGAAGAGAGATTTCCTGAGTTTCACCAATGCTCTTGCAAATACCAAGGACTCACTCAGCCTAGGATTTGCCACTGTCCTTGTCCTTGTCCTGGGTTAATAACAGGTCTGTGGCGGTGACGACCCTGGTTCTGGGTCCATCACTGCCACCATCTCCAACCTCTAGCACGTAGTCAGATTTCATACTTTGGGATCAGTCCCCGGGTCTGCTCTGCTTCCTGTCTAGCAGGAAGAAAGGCCGAGATGAGGATCTGACATCCGTTTAACTATCAACATCCCCATTAAATTAGCCCTGAGAACTAGTAGCTGAGTTAGTTAACCCAAGGGACTGAGGGAGTCAAGGCAGGAGTTTGATCTCTCTCATAGAGCATTCACATCTCACGGAATGCATAGGGAGCCCAGCCCGACAGCTCAGAGATGCAAACCACCAGTCTGATGAGAAATTGTGACTAAAGACAAGCAAACACACCAGAGGTCTACCTTGCTGAAAGTGAAATTCGTATCTGAAAGTCTAGACTTTCTTTAAAAAAGGCTAAACTGGAGATTTATAAAAAGGATTTATCCCACGTCTTTCTTAAACAGTAAGTTTTCTCCAGATTCACTGCCAAAAGTGAAACATACCTGCTCTGAAAGACAATATTAAACCACAAATTTAAAAACAGGCACATGGTGATTCGGTAACTTTATCACTGAATACACAGAGCACAATGTACACTTGGTCTCTTTAAATTGGCATAGTCAGCCCAAAATAAGTGAGCTCACAATCAAAAATTAAAGAATTACTATTAATTATAAGACTCTTACAATAATAGCAGCAAATGACATTGTTTTCTTCATAATCGCCATATTTGAAACTGTAAAAACATTGCTCCAACCACTGTTTTTAAACTATTTCTTAGTTCATACTAATAGTGAAAATGGACTTCCCTATTAACATTTTTACCTTGGTTCTGTTTAGAGTGAGTAAGAAAAATCTAAAGTGTGATTCATCTTTAGTAAACCTATTTTTCCCATCAGAAAACAAAAGCTTTTATTGCCAAAGATCAAATCTTTCCATTTTTATTTTTTTATTTATTTATTTTTTGCCATTGCCCTTTCTAAAAGTTCTCCAGCTCTGCCATTTTCAAATCCAACTTGATAACTTATATTTAGGAACTCTTTAGCACACGTGCCGGCATAAATTCAATAGCTCTCATCACCCAAGTACTGCTGAGTTTGACCTTGTTTGGATTAATTAAATTCATGGAATGGAAGCTCATTTAAAAATCAACCAAAGTACAATAGTTTCTGTCTGGAATCATAAGATTCCTATCCCTCCCCATAGTACAAAAAAATTAAAGACCTCTTTATATACATAAAAGTGGGAGGCGGAATGCTGTACATTTCATCACAAGCCCAAATATTCCAAAACAGGAAAATGATAGGAGACAGAGGCTCTCAAATTTTATATCCCCTCATCCCTGGGTAGTGGGTTTAAATTTGTATTATAATATTCTCTCCCTTCTCAGGTCATTGCTCAGTTTAATTTTTATACATAATTTACGTATTTGGCAATAATAATATTAGCTAACACTATATGCAGGGCAGGTACTAAGTGTCAGGGACAAGTAGAACAAAAGACAAACTTGGGCCACGTCCTCATGGGGTTTATAGGACAGGGACAGATATTTGTGATCATTATCTCCATTTACAGTTGAAGAACCAGAGTCTCAGGAAGGCAGTGACTTGCCTGAGGCCAACTAGTCGTGGGACTTGACCGGGATCTACCTGCCTCCAGAACCCAGCCTCCTCTACCATGGGAACAAATCGAAGCACTAAGCAGATCGTAAGGGCAGCAGTACAGCCGTTCTTCAAGGCCTCCAGGCATACTCCAGTTAACCCACACTGGAGGCGGAAGAATATCCACGGTCATCCCGGGGTCAGGCCCGGCAGTGTCTCTTGGGGACCCTGATGTTGTCTCCAAAGACACCCTCCAGAATATTCTTCCATGGCGATGGACCTCCAGGGTAAACAGGCAGCTGAACCCACAGAGCTCAGCCCTAAAGCACACAGAGTCCCTGCAAAGATGCCCTCACCACGGCTCCTGCTGGCTGCTAGCTTCTGGAAAACTTCCACCAGATGCCAGCCACCCCTCAGCACATGGCAAGAACCTGTCATTCCCTTCTAGTCTCCTCCCTCAGAAGAAGTTTCTTGGGACTCTTCCCCGGTCCCCTGATGAATGCTAACATCCCTTTTTCACAGTATCATGACTTCTCCTATAGATACCCTTTCAGCATCCCACTTCAGATCTCCACACAGACAAGAGGAGACAACTGTGCAAACCTGAACACATGGAACAGAAAAGCCCCCTTGGTGATTTGACTGTAATGAGCCGCTAAACAAAGAACCCTTCGTAGTATTCAAATAACGTCGACATCAAGTGGCCTTGCTTCCTGACACATTCTCTCTTGGTGTGGGAGGACTACTTCACGCTTTTGAAATCACACCGTGAAGACCACAGCAAACTCCCACCCCAGGGAGTGAGGAAAGCAAGCTGGTTTGCCTCGCGGGGCTTTGAAGGGATTCCATCGGTCAAAATGACTAAACACGACCAGAAATCATCAAAAACAATGTCTACATCTTTCTAAAGTAAAAGTAAAACAGCATTAAATAGGAACTAAGTGGCTCATTTCATGAATGAGAGACAGTGTTTTAACGGCTTTAAAACGTTTCCATCTCCCGCCCCCTCCCCCACTCTAACCTATCCCTGCCCTAAACCCCCATTGAACCCAATAGAATGATTTTCTGACCTTTCTTCGTCTAAAAAGTCGTTGGATATCACTCTTCGCAACCACAATGTTAAGGTGAGTGAGAAAGAGTGACGCTGGAGGCAGATTTCAAGGCTAACAATCCGTTCCCTTTTTGTTCTCCACCCTAACCCCTCCAGCAAGTCAATAAATACATGGTGAGTTTGAATTGGGGTCGTGGCACTCCATGGGATGGCCTGCCACAGTCCTATTCTCTCACTTCATTTCAGAGTCTCAGGATGGTGTCGTTTGGGCTGGTGGTTCAAGAACCCTTGGCACAGGGGGCGTCGCAGGAGCCCGAGGCGGCCGGCCGACGGGGGGGCAGTCCTTTCCTATCCAGAGCGGTGGTGTCCAGGGGTGACGCGGGGCCGGCCGGCGCGCATCTGGATAGGCGTCCGTGTCAGGAGCGGTAGGCCGCGAAGTCCCGCGCCGGCGCGTAGGGCTGGTAGTGCTTTCGGGTGGGCCCCGGCCTCCGGGGGGTCATGTTCATGTAGTCGCTCTGAAGGGTCCTGCTCCTCCTATTCCTCATCTGCAGAAGAGAGAAGTGTCACTGTGAAGAGGGCCGGGGACACGGAAGGAGAGGTCGTGGGAGGAGTTCTAAGATTTGGGGGGCGACTGTTGAAACACCGGCTGTCAAAGGAAGCTGAACCCCGGGAGGTCACTGCGCACCTTGGACTTGGATACTGACTCATCAAACCGAACTACTTTGGACTAAATCAACTTGAAAAATCAGAACCAAGAAGTATCTTAGAGAAACGCACCCATGTTACGCTCAATGCTGTCATTTGCCCTGACTCCCCAAAGCATACCTAGTTAACCCAGCCACTGCGCTATGTAAATACTCCGGAAGGCCCTTCCTCCTCGGAAAAGGTTCAGCATCCCTATTGCAATCTTCTTCCATCAGTCATTTGCTTAACAAGCCATTTTTCCATAAGCAACCCAAGAGGATCGTCAGCCCTCCAGAGTCTGGAATAATCATAAATTCACAGCAGGGGAGTCCAAATTAACGGGGAGTTATAGTTCTAGACAACCAGTTGCATTCCTATTCCCTTATATGTATGTTCATTTCTGTAAAGACAACAGCGTCACTCATCTCCGTTCCTCAGACTCAGCTCCTTCTGGATGAATTTCTGCCAGGGATGAGGTATGTGGGGACAATGCTGACCCAGAGAAAGAGCTGTACTCACCAGGGATCTTAGCAAAGTTGGAGTAGGGGTTAGAAGCATCTTTCCTGGGCCAATGTGATGGTAAAATTTACACGTTTGATAAAAGAATAATAAAAATTCTAAAATAGAAAGCCATTCAGATTTCTAGATTGCAAATTCTATATTTCGAAAAAAATATCTATTTCTTGGAATGTAAGACCAATGCATAAGTAGATATGTTGGGCATGAGTGACACGAACACCTGAATAAGTAAGTGAAGGACTTCAGCCCTGGCTTTGTTCCCATGCACTGCTCCCCGAGCCCCTGACACCTTCCTTGTCAAAGGGGCATGAGTCAGTGTTAAAAAAAGGGAAAAACACTGACCTCCACATCACCAGATACAACCAGCATGTTTTCAGTGCTCATCCTCTGAACTCTCAGCAACATTCTCTGTTTCTATATTATTGGTTACTCTCTCCTTTTTAAAACACTCTTCCACTTTGCCTTCCGTGAGATGGTACCGTCCCCCTTTTCATCCTACCTCTCTGGCCACTCCTTTCCTGCTTCCTTTGTAGGCTCATCCTTCTCCAGTTAGCCATTCAGTGTTAGAGTTCCTCACAGCTTGGTCCTACACCTTTTCCTCTACTCACACATCCTCGCTCCCTAGGCAACCTCATCCACATTCACAGCTTCAATTACCACCTATTCACCCGAATTTACATCTCTGGACTAGGCACTTTAAACTCAACAAGTCCAAAAAGAAACTCAAGATCTTCCCCTAAGGTCTAGTCCTCTTCCAGAGTTTCTCCTCTGAGTGAGTGGCATTACTATATAAAGTTGCCCAAGCCAGCCCTCCTAAGCCTCATCCTTGACAACTTCACTCCCTTATCCACTGTCCTAGGGAACATTTGACAATGTCTGAAGACATTTTGGGTTGTCATGACTGGGAGAAATGCTACTGGTATCTAGTGGGTAGAGGCCAGAGATGCTGCTAAACATCCTACAATGCAGAGGGCAGCCCCTAACAACAAAGAATTATCCAGCCCAAAATGTCAATAGTGCCAAGACTGAAAAGTCCTGATCTAAAGAGTCCAATCATGAAAAAGAATGGAATGAAAACGAAGCAATGGACAGAAAATATATCACCAAAATAGAATGAATATTATTAGACTACTTGACTCCTCTTTCTTGCTCATACTCAAAAGATGACTGATGATTTAAGCCTGGTTGACTAGAAGGATAGCGTTCCATTCCACAAACATAAGGCAAGGCAGTAGGAGAAGTAGATTTGAAAAAGGTTATAAATTCAGCTTTGATCATTTCAGATTTGAGAGGATGGATGGGTTATCTAGCTGAAACTAACAAGAGGATAGCATTAAACAAACATAATTGGGGCACTCATTCAGAGAGAGGTAGCCATGGAAACCGGTAGATGAGGGAAGTTGCTCTTCAAACATCTTGGTTCTACATCCTTTCTATGAGTGAAAGACTAGAGTTCTCTTGGGCACAGGATTATGGCAGGGCAGGAATAAGAGCGAGGAAATGTCTGGCCCAGATCAGTGTGGAAGGAGCTGATGGTACCCTGGGAGGCATTTCAGCACTTACTCCAACTCTAAGGATTCCCCTTGCCAGACTCCCAAGTGACAATCTTTGCATCTGGACACTCAAATAAAACTATAGCTGGTAGAGAGGCCCCAATAATGAAGACATCTTGACTCTGAGGTTCTCTGGGTCACAAAGACTATGAAAGCTCTGCTGCAGTCAGCTCCCATGCTTACCCTCAGGCCATTACCGGATAGTGGATTTGGTCGTTATCACCCAGCTCTAAACACAGCAGTGGGATAGACTTGACACATGTGTGGCTGGGGACACTCTACAGAACCCAGTGTCCACACGCATCTAGCATACGCATATTGTGTGCAGAGTACTCCCCTTCTGTGTGTGTGTGCCTGGGTCATCTATCCTGCCCCTTCGCCATTCAATGTCTGCTAAAGATGTGTGACTTCAAGACCACTCCTCCCCTGCTCTTCCCTCCACCCACGCCCCTACCCACTTGTTTCCTGGAAGAAGCAGCAAGACACAAGGTGTACGCAGGTGATTCACCTGAAGACACGGTCTTCAAGACTCCACTAGATTAAAGGCGGATAATGCCTATACGCACACTATCCACATTCCCAACGTAGTGATTTATGGTGGAGAAGACCCTGTTTCTAAAAAGGCTCCTTTAGACTAAGAAAGAGAATAGGTTTACCACTCAGCTGAGTGAATGAAAGATTGAGTGAGAGTAACAGATGCTGCTCTGGGGCAGGCTGGCAGAGGCAGCTCTTTATTTAAATGTCAGCAACAGGTCAAGAACTGAGATAGAATCTGCAGCTGCTCCCAGAAACCCACTCAGCCTAGAACTGCCTACAGTAGCACATCACAAGCCCTCAGGAAGTTCCGGAAAACAGCAGCTTACACCAAGGCATGGTGCAGAGCAGCCAAAAACAGGATCCCAGAAAAGTACCCAGGAACTGGCTGAAAATCCAGGGGTCCCTAATGAGTTGGCTGCCTGGCTCAGCAAGGTGCTGTTTGCTTAAATAGTGACAGCAGCAGAAAAAAGATGAGCCCAGGGTAAAATGCTGTGTTATTCTATGAAACATACATATATATTTGCTTCACACCCTTTTGGTCAGAGAGTACAAAGACCTAGGCTTGAGATGCAAGTAAAAGGTAGTTCTTATTGGGTAAGCTAACTGACTACAAGAGACCACAGGAAGGTAAGACATGCCAAACATGGGACTTCCCAAATTACAGGGAGCCTGTGAGACAGAATGAGACCAAAGTGAGTTTTCTCAGGATGAAGCAAGATGAACGTCGCTAGGGATTAGGAGCGCTGCCAAAGAAAAACCCATAGTGTCTATGACGCTGCAGGGTTGAAAGTAAACTGTTTAAATTCATTGAAAATGAGAAGCTGCTGTTGTCCCTTTGGGTGATTTGAGTCACTTAGCAAATTAGTGCCTTGATGATAGTAACTGATATTTCTAATGCATATTTACAATAAGTTTTAAATGATGAGCAGTCCCCTTCTGGGCACTGAAAGTTAAAGCAGTTCCCAAAACAGCTTCCTGCAAAGCTAGTAAATTACATTGACCTGGGTCAGCACGTTACAGGAGAGCGCCTGCCCTGGAAGGTTACCTGAAAAGCCACTGCACCTGCCTTTAAATTAAGAAGTTCAGATTCCCGAGGGGATCAGGATAAAAACAAGAACTAAGATTCTAAATTCTAAAATCACTGGCAAACACTACAGAGGTTCAAGGCTGGAAGGTAACTTGGATGAAGACACCAAGATTCAGACATGAAGGAACTCAACTGGCCTCAGAGGAAGAACTTAGGCAATATTTCACCACATAAAAGCTCCCCATCAGGGGCAGGGGATGTGAACAGACATTTCTCCAAAGAAGATATACGGATGGCATTGTACTGATCATCAGGGAAATGCAAATCAAAACCACACTAAGATATCACCTTACACCCGTTAGAATGGCTATAATCACCAAAATAAAAAATAACAAATGTTGGAGAGGTTGTGGAGAAAAGGAACCCTCATACACTGCTGGTGGGAATGCAAACTGGTGCAGCCTCTATGGAAAACAGTATGGAGGTTTCTCAAAAAATTAAAAATAGAAATACGATATGACCCAGCCATCCCACTACGTGGTATCTATCCAAAGAACTTGAAATCAGCAATTCAAAAAGACCCTATGTTCATGCACCCCTATGTTCATTGAAGCATTATTCACAATAGGCAAGACATGGAAGCAACCTAACTACCCACTGACTGATGATTGGATAAAGAAGATATGGTGTGTGTGTGTATATATATATGATGGAATACTACTCAGCCATAAAAAAGGATAAAATCGTCCCATTCACAACAACATGGATGGACTTTGAGGGTATTATGTTAAGTGAAATGAGCCAGATAGAGAAAGACAATCTCTGTATGACTCCACTCATATGTGGAAGATAAACACGTGGACAAAGAGAACAGATTCGTGGTTACCAGGGGAAAGGGGGGGAGGGGTGGGGGGTCAGCACAAAGGATGAAGTGGTGCACCTACAATGTGACTGACAAATAATAATTTACTACTGAAATTTCACAAGATTGTAAACTATCATAACCTCAATAAAAAATAAAATAGAAAAAAAAAAGGTCTCCATCAGGCTTGGGCAACTTGCAGAAGGCGAGGTAGGCAAATCCTCAAAATGATATCTAGTGTAAAGGATTTCCAGGAACAAGCAGCCACTTTGTTCCCTACTCTGCAGAAGAGACAGATTAGGCAATAGGCAGCCTGACAAACATCCACCTGACCACTAGAGTCTTCTGAAATGGGAGAAGCATGTAGGGAACAATCGAGAGGTAAACTTTAGCAATAGGACAACAAGAGTTTAAAAGGATCCCAGGCTGGATCTATCATTGGCATGACTGTGAACCCAGGGTTTCACATGGTGTGACTTCCAGAAATCACTGACCCATGTATGGACTAGTTAAATGGATGGGGTATGCCTTAAAGATGAGTATTGTACTTCAGGCATGTTCATTTAAGTCCTTAGTTTGGCCTCTTTGGAGGTTATCAATTCATCAATTGTTCACTAAGCAGTAAGTGTACCTAATACCAGAGGGATGGTGAATATCAAGAGAAATAGCCCTTTATCCTTAAGGAGCATGTATTTCTTGTTGAAGAAATGACTCATACATGCAAGTAACTTCTAGAAAAAAATTCAAAGACAAGATGGAATCAATGCATGAAGTATTCCGTACCACACTGTGTACAGAAGAATAGAAAGTTTCTGAGTATGGGAAAGACTTGGGTAAGGAGGTCCCTTGTGAACAGTAGATATGGTCATCAAGATGTGTTCAAACCTAGGCCAAAATTTCAGCATTGAAGGAGGTGAAGAAACATACACCCAGTTTATTGCATGAACATTTGCAAAAGTTGGTAAACTCCAGTTTGGTAGTGAGAGCTCAGAAGAATCTGATTCCCATTACAGTTTCATAATGACAGCTCCATCCTTAGCCTCACAAAACTCAACTGCTTCAGAGGAGATAAAAATATGACTCAGATAAACAGACCTAGTTTCTTTGCTAGGTTTGAATGCATAATTTCAGTAGCCAAATTTCTCATGATTTTTGACCCTGAACCAAAGTTGTTCATTCGCTTCAGTTGCCTACGTTCCCGAGTTGCTTAGATTTTTATACATGTGTATATATTAAAACTATTTCATATGTCATAATAATAGTGCAAAATGGAGAGAAGAAAAGTAACTGCCCCAAATACCCCCACCCTAATTTACCCCTTTAGCTTCTTAATGCTAATCAGTGCCTTCTGGAAAATAGAACTCACATCAGATTTTTATCTCCAGTAAAGTCAGACAGTCTAAAAGAGAACCTACTCAAACCTAGCAGGGAAAAAGAAAATAATAATAATCACATGTTAAACAGAAAATAAACCACATAGGCAAAAGTCTTGGATATGTTCAGATTGCATGTGCAGTGGAAAAGTTATGTGAAAGCCACTCTGCTTCTCTTACCCAGCAAGTACAAAGAGCCACTGTTACCAGCAGGCTATAGAAAGCTAGGACTCCACCAGTCACCGCCAGTGCCCAAAATGGCGTAGAAGACTCAGTAAACGGATGAACTGGACAAAGATGTTTCTCTGAAAAACAGAAGAGAGTGGATTAAATGATATGGGAATGACACGAGTAAATTGCCTTCCTTCGGAACATTATGGAAGAACGTGAGAGGAATAAAAATATGCAAAATATCACTAGCTTAGAATGTGTAGACTTCCCCTTTGGTCTATCCCCTTTGGGATTTATCCAACCCACCACTAATCATGACCTAGTTTGCAAGACTGCAGTTGAAAGCCATTCCTCCAGAAGGGCACACCAATAGAGATGTGGCGTGTTACCTTTCACATGGATAATGGTCCCGTTGCTCTTCTCATTGTCTATGTAAGGAGGAGGGTACATGACCTCAATCTTGCAGAAGTAAATATCCGTTTGATTAACGTACAAATTCCAGAGGTAGAATGTCACTGTTTCGTTGCCCAATTTCCCATCGCAGTTGAATCCTGTATTTGAGTGAAACTGAAGCTGGTGGGAGTGATTTCCATTCACAACACAGACTTCCACAGCACTGTCTGCTCCCTTGTAGAGGGAGGCCCGGAACTCCTTGGAGAAGAGGTTGTAGGTGTACTTGCAGCTGAGGTTGACCGCATTATTGTGCACCACAAGCATGGGCGACTGCTTCACCAAAATCTTGTTCTCTGGAGGGGAAAAATCATTTGCTTAGAACAAAGATATAAGGACTTTTTTTCCCTGAAATCAAGATATATTAATTAACAAAATAAACAGCTCTCCAGCAAAGGCTTTCTCTTGGCAGATGAAGATGCAGGGGCTCTTTGGGAGATAATTATACTGAGTTTAAAAGTTTACAGTTCAATATTATTTTCATCCTCCTCCGAATGAAAGAGTGGGGCATGTTTTCACGTAGAAGGCGGAATGTGGCCTTCTGTCGGCACTGAGCACCGCAGCTCCGCCTTTGGAATTTTTGAATCTGTACTGAGATTCCTACGATGTTAATCACGCTTAATCGTGTCAATTTCCTGATTGAGTGGAACACTTGGAAATGGCTTTTAACACCTGATACAGATACACAGATAGATTTGTTTTCAGGTTGCAATACAGGCTTTAGTGAAGGAATTAAAATGTTTGGAGACATTTTGCCTTTGTTTCTTGCCCATTCCAAGAGTAGGATAAAGAGGTAAGAGAAAAGGTAACCCAAGAGTTTAATTCATCTTCCATAGCAAATTATGAGAACAACCTTCTCAAGAAATTCCCATATTTGTTCGCTTAAATCAGAGCAGATGGAAGAGGCCCACAGGAGTTCTCTCTCTAGTCCATCTTCGACCTTTATGCTATCCCAGTGAACCAGCAAAGAATCTGGAGACCATCTAGTTCAATCTCTTCACTTTTACAGTGAAGACACTGAAGCTAGATCATAAACTGCATGAGGGAAGCGACACATCTACTCCACTTGTTTCCCACCACATCCCCATTCCTGGCACATGACAATATATTCCTTCCTTTCCCTTAATGACTGTGTGAGGCTGAGAAATATTAGATCATTTGTCTAAAATTACTGAGCAGATGGTGAGCCAAGCTAGGACTAAACCCCGAGTAAACTTCAACCCCCTGAGGAATAGACCACTGAAGCATTGAGAACCAACTTTGCAACCAAAACTCTCCAAAATTTCTCTAATAAATCACTGATGTCTTTGACTCAAAATTCAACACAAATTAAAAAAATTTTGCTGTTGCTTTGGGGTATGCTGATAATTGTCAACCTACTTGCATTTAAGAAAAAAGGTTGTTTGAAGCAACACTCCCTACACCCATAGGGAAAAACCAAATAAAATAAGACTCTATTAAAATAAAACTTACAATTTAACCTGGATTTGAATTCATGTACTCAAGTGTTTTGTTTTGCTTTGGGGAGAAGGTTGCTGCATAGAACTCAATCACTAATAGCTTTTCATCTCCCACATAGTTCTCAGTGCTGGCTGTACATCAAGAACTTTAAAAAAATACCTATGCCCAGGTCCCATTCTCAGAAATTCTGATTTAACTGGTCTATGTTGGGGGAGGGCATGGGGCATTTGCATTGGTTCTTTCACTTTTTTATAACAACTTATTGAGATATAATTCATGTACCATGAAGCCCACCTTTTTTTTTTTAAGTTCACCCTTTTAAAGTGCACAGTTCGGTGTTTTTTAAATTATATTCACAAAGTTGTGAATGGATCACCACTATCTGATTCCAGAATTCATTACCCCCCAAAAAAGAAATCTCAGACCCGTTAGCAGCCACTCCCCATTCTTCCTTCCCTCCAGCCCATGGCAACCACTAACCTATTTTCTGTCTCTATGGATTTGCCTATTCTGGACATTTCATGTAAATGGGATCTGGCTTCCTTCACTTAGTATAATGTTTTCAAGGTTCATCTATGTTGAAACATGTATCAGAACTTTATTCCTTTTCATGGCTGAATAATATGCCATTGTGTGCATATACCACATTTTGTTTTCCCATTCCTCAGTTGCTTCCACTTTTGGGCTGTTATGAATAATGCTGCTATGGACATTCATGTACACGTTTTCATGTGGACATATGTTTTCAATTCTCTTGGGTATATACGAGGACTGGAATTGCTGGGTCATGTGGTAACTCTATGTTTAACTTTTTGAGGAACTGACAAACTGTTTTCCAAAGCAACTGCACCATTTTACATTCCCACCAGCAGTCTATGAGGCTTTCAATTTCTCCACATCCTTGACAACACTTGTTGTTGTCCATCTCTTTTATTACAGCCATCCTACTGGATATGAAGTAGTATCTCATTGTGGCTTGATTTGCATTTCTCTAATGACTGATGAGCATTTGTTTCATGTGCTTATTAGCCATTTGTATATCCTTTTTAGAGAAACGTCTATTCAGATCACTTGCTTACTTAACTGGGTTGTCTTTTTATTGTCGAATTAACAGAATTCTTTGCAAATTTTTGATACCAGTTCCTTATCAGATACGTGATTTGCAAATATTTTCTCCCATTCTGTGGGTCATCTTTGGTATTGTCTTAAAAATTCCCCCAGTTGATTCTAATGTTCAGTTAGGATGGAAAACCACAATAGCCTAACAGATTTCTCAAGCTGACAACATATTAGAATCACTTGGGAACATTAAAAACCCTTGATTCCCAGCCAATTAAATCAGGCTATCTGGGTATAAGACCCAGATCCATAGTTTTTGAGTTTCTCAGGAGAGTCCAATTTGCAGTCAAGTTTGAGAACCAGAAGCTTAACAGCTGAAAGCTCATTTCTTATCCTCAATTCATAGGCCACCATAGGTTTTCTCAGCCTCATTTCCTCAAAACAAAACCCTCCCAATTTTCCAGACCATTTAAAAGTCAGCCTCCCAGGAACACGCTGTGAGCATTCCTCTCTCCAGACTTTGTTTACTAACTCCACGGCCTAGAGAGTTTCTTCCTTCTCAGGTCCCATTTGCCATTTGGCCGGGTTCTACGTTTCGAACACCTCTTATTTCATATGCTTCAATTTGTTTGGCTTTTGACTTGTGTGTATTTCCTCTAGACCTCTAATTTCCAAGTCTCTTTTGATCAAGGGGGATGTGTTACACTTCTTTGTATAATATTTTGTGAACAATGGAATCTCATTAACGATCAATAGGTGAAAGATGGTGATCTGACTATATCATTCTTACCAGCAGCTAGATCTAACTACCCTCTCATTAATTCCTCATTCAAAATTCATTCAAAATTTGTGTCTCAACAACTTTGGTTCATTTGTTTTTCATTCAACAGTACTTCCTAAAAGCACTGAAAAGCAAACACATAAAGAATCAAAAAGTTCAACCTGTCTTGACAGGAAAATCCAACTTGCTTTTTGTTCTGTTTTATTTTGCTTGGCTGTCTTCTTTGTTTACTTAGAAAGACTCATTGGGCCGGTTCTGACTGGAAGAACCAATGCCAGCAAGGAATGCCAGCATCTCCCTCCTCTTCAGGGAGTGCAGGTTAGGTATTTGTATTTTTGCATACTGAGCCCTCCAGGAATAATCTTTTTGTTACTAATTATTTGGATTCTGTTTTCATGGACATTCTAATTCTTCCTGATCTGCCTTTCAGAGCTGATATAAGAAAAAAGATGAGAATAGGACCTCTTTGCAGAGATGAAAAAAAGAGGAGCATGGGCAGGGAAACCAAGCAAGGCTGGAGAGAAGCCTTGGATGGGTCCCCAGTTTGGCTTCCTTCTCCCAGCACCCACAGTGAGGTGGGGAAAGGGAAGGGCAGGGGAGGAAGGGAGAGACACTCTAGCATCTCCACTCCAGTAGTTTGCTTAAGATGTCTCACAAAACTCAGGGTTTTGTGAGATGCACGTGGGAAAAAAGAATGGATTTCCTGAAGATGCACAGGGCTCAGTTTCTATCCTTGGGCAGTTCACAGTCTGCTGGGAAAGAAAGATACATACACAGCTACTTTAAATATAGTGGCCCAGTGATCTGCATATGCTTCTTGGGGCAGTTGGGGACCCCCTAAGGATTTCTGAAGAAGGTAACTGCTGACCCGACTCTTGAAGGATTATGCATACATTGATTTGACAAGTTTTTATTAAATAAAAGTTGGCCTAGCTAAGATGAGTCTTTGTGTTAACAAGTGGGCTGAGGTAGGAGAGTGTGTTGGGGTTTGGAGGTAGGGTACTATGGGAAAGGTGAGGAAAGAGAGAAAAAGAACAATCTAGGCAGAGGCAATAAGGAGGTGAGAAAGAGTATGGCAGATGTAGGTAATTACAGCTACCTCAATTTTGCTGGACCTTGAGTTGTAGAAGACAAGATTGGCAAAGCAAGCATAGCTTAGCTCAGGCCCTCCCCTGCAGGTGATGAGGACCTACTGAAGAATTTAAAGCAGAAAGTGCTATGTGCGACTTTTCATTTTACGCGATCGCTTTAGCAAAACTGTGCAAGGTAGATGTGAAGGGTACAAGAGTGAAAACATGGACACCAGTTAGGATACAATCGTCGTGGTCTAGGCAAGAGGTGATATGGGCCTGAAAAACAGTTAGAAAGAAGTGGATAAACTCAAGAAGTATTTACAGGCTGAAAGTGGCACAACTCAGCATTAGCTTAGATGTGGTAAGTGACGGACAAGGAGGAGTTAAAAATGACCGTCCTCAGGACACAAAGAGCCACCAGTAAGTAACACTTTTCCTTTTGCCTACATCTCTTCTTCATTCCTTACATGACCGGAATAGACAGCTCAGAAACTGCAGTGAAGTTTGGACATCTGGCTGTGAAGAAGACATTCTTCCAGCCTAAGGGATCATTGCAAAGAAAACATGAATTACCTCAAAGGTCCCTGGGAGCACAGTTGACCCCCTGGAGCTTAGTTCAGTGTTTGCTCTTTCTCAGAACGGAGAAGTAGTGCTGTTTCTCTCCTGAAACTGTTTTTCCTTCATGAAGCACAATAAAGCAAGATAACTGGATGACAGATTTTCCTTCTGTTCATCATGGGGCCTCCAACTTTAAACCTCAGCATTGTTACGGCTGATCAGATTGCACCTGAGCCCATCCTACCTCAGCACTACAAATTGAGAAATTCCTCAGGGCAGAGCAATCCAAGATCCCGATATCTAGGCAGGCTGTTACATATTCAGTACTCTCCTGGTTGATGGAATATTCCACAACTGAGCAAGG